ATTATAAACATACTCCTAAACGTGGAACTTCTTGCTCCGTGGATCATTTAGTTATTGGAATTTGTGCGAATGAAAATGTGTATTTGGTTGCCTACACTTAGCATAAATAACAGGGTGCCAACCAAAGTACGAACAATAAATATTTTTTATATTATATACCGACGTACTCGCGCCAAGATGGCTTGCGCCAAAGTGTCCCTGCGCCAAGTTGGCTTTGCGCCAAAATGGCTCGCGCCAAGTCGGCCGCGCCAAGTTGGCCGCGCCAAGTCGGCCGTGCCAAATAGTCCCATTCCGATTAACGGGGAGAGATTGATATCAACCACGTTGGGACAACGGAACAACTGGCGGATATGTTCACAAAGCCGCTAAACCGTGATAAAATTGCCAATAATTTAAAATTATTGAATTTACATTCAGTGTAGTAACATTTATTCTGTTATGTATTCTTTTATTTGTGTTCTAACTTTTTTTGTTTGTTTATTTAGTTCATTTGACCAGAGCGAGTGCGAGTTTTGCAATATGTCACCATTAGGTAAGCTCTGGCCCAGTGCCGGTGCAACACTTGTGTGGTTGGAAGTTTGGACCCTTTTGTCTTTGTCGGCGTTTTACGGTAAATCGACGCGACGTTCAGATATCGAGACCGACCCTTTTTTTCTGGTCAGCCAGAGAGGCAAGACTAATTTAGTTTTTACATGTTGTACATCTATACAGGGTGTCCCAGAATTCGCGCCATTCCCGTGAATGACATGTTCCCTGTCCCGAACTGTGCCGTAATTCGCAAAAAGAATTGTCCAGGCTTTAACCGTATGAGAACTGGAAGGCGATTAAGTTGACCAATAGAGAGGCTGCTTTTATATCCGAACGTTTCTATGTTCAAAGTTACCTATGCCAAGAACAAAAAATCGGGTAATACTAAAGTTGAATGAATTTTTTCCGAATCCCCCTCCGTCAACAAAAGGAAACAGAAGTGTGGTTATAAATTTAATCATTTTGACAATTGTTTGTCATAAACTGTCACGAAGTTCATCACTGACCTGAAGAGACGCTTCTGCGCCAAAGATGACTGATTAATGTACACAGAGACGTCAAGGTTTACTTTAAGGCAAGCAGCATGGGACAGAAGTTATTTCTGCGGCCATTCTAGTTAAATTGTGTTTAACTGGGCTGTACATTTCATAAGAGAAGCTGTTTCATTTCATCGTAGGCAAATAATACATTTATTACTATTCTACATAGTGTAGGTACCGAAAAGCAGGTATTAGAAGTCATTTTCTTAGAGCCTCGTGAATAATGTGTTGTTCTTTTTAACGAAAATTAGTACATTTTCAGAATTCACTATGCAGCATATCCCTGATATTAAGTTTATCGTTATTTCTAAAAAAGAGTACCACACGTCCATTCAAAGAACGTTATTAAGTGTACTAAAACATAAATATCGTTTTTGATTAATCGGTGCTTATGATTTTCAATAAACAGTATCAATTTTTTGAACAGTTTTGTTGCTGATACCTAATCTTAGCAACGAAAAAATAGACGAGACTCCACTTCTCTGGTGTATTGAGATCATAGGTATCTGCTGTGGTGTCAATCATGTGGGGGAGATAATGAAAACAGAGACTTATTCAAGAATAATATTGATGTTGCATATGATTTAAAACAGTTTCTTTAAAGTTGTGCTGAAACCATATATTCCGCCGTACTTTCAAAGGAACGTCTTCCAACAACGCCGGAAGCTCTAGTCGTAGAAAATTAGCATATGCCTCCCCATTAAGGTAATCAGGTAACACAAACGGCCCCACCGAAATAAACAGGAACGGAGTTTAGTGATAATTTTATCAGATGCATTAAAATTTTTACCACACTAGTAGCAATGATTCCAGCCCATAGATTAATAGTAAATCGCTCCTGATATGCTCTCACCCTAGTGAGATGTGGATTTTCGTGTGCCCAGAAATGCCAATTGTGTGCATTAAACATTCCTTCTCGGGAAAATGAACATTCGTCGGTGAAAAGAATGCGCCGTGAAAAATCAGCAGTAACCATTGAGCAAAATGTACTCGTTGCGGGTAGTCGGCTGGTCGCAGATGCTGCACCCTCGTGTAATGGTAAGGATGCAGTCTTCTCTCTTGAAGGATACGATGAGTGGTCGATCTTGAGCATCCACTCATTTGCGCTACGCAGCGGACATTTCTCCTAGGATCCGCTTCCATGTTTTCTAACACTTGCTCTTCAGCACCTACACGTACACTCCATGGAGCCCCAGCACGGCCTTTCCGACTAGGCTGAAAAGATCCATCTTCTCTTTAGTACACTTAATAACGTTCTTTGAATGGACATGTGGTACTCTTTTTTAGAAATAACGATAAACTTAATATCAGGGATATGATGCGTAGTGAATTCTGAAAATGTACTAATTTTCGTTAAAAAGAACAACACATTATTCACGGGGCTCTAAGAAAATGACTTCTAATACCTGTTCTTTGGTATCCACACTATGTAGAATAGTAATAAATGTATTATTTGCCTACGATGAAATGAAACAGCTTCTCTTATGACATGTACAGCCCAGTTAAACACAATTTAACTAGAATGGCCGCAGAAATAACTTCTGTCCCATGCTACTGGCCTTAAAGTAAACCTTGACGTCTCTGTGTACATTAATCAGTCATCTTTGGCGCAGAAGCGTCTCTTCAGGTCAGTGATGAACTTCGTGACAGTTTATGACAAACAATTGTCAAAATGATTAAATTTATAACCACATTTCTGTTTCCTTTTGTTGACGGAGGGGGATTCGGAAAAAATTCATTCAACTTTAGTATTACCCGATTTTTTGTTCTTGGCATAGGTAACTTTGAACATAGAAACGTTCGGATATAAAAGCAGCCTCTCTATTGGTCAACTTAATCGCCTTCCAGTTCTCACACGGTTAAAGCCTGGACAATTCTTTTTGCGAATTACGGCACAGTTCGGGACAGGGAACATGTCATTCACGGGAATGGCGCGAATTCTGGGACACCCTGTATAATATAAAACAAAGTCGTGTTAATGCACCGTTTATAACTCAAGAACGACTGGACCGATTTTAATGATTTTTGATCTGTTGGGTTTGTCTCCGTCCGGAATAACAGAATAACTATTAAAACATTTAAAAAATTAAGAGAATAAAAAATTAGAGATTAAATAAAATTAAATAAACGACGTTCGGTTTGTTAGCCTGTGACAATTGTCATGGTAAGCGCAAAGACAATAATTGATGTTATGTTATAATAGAAGCAAAGTCAATAATATCCCGGAATGGGACTATTTGGCGCGGCCGACTTGGCGCGAGCCATTTTGGCGCAAAGCCAACTTGGCGCAGGGACACTTTGGCGCAGGCCATCTTGGCTCGAGTACGTCGGTATATAATATAAAAAATATTTATTGTTCGTCCTGTGGTTGGCACCCTGTTATTTAAACTAAGTGTAGGCAACTAAATACACCGTTTCATTCGCTTAAATTCCAATAACTAAATGATCCATGGAGCAAGAAGTTCCACGTTTAAGAGTATGTTTATAATGGGGTGCAGGGCGCGAAGCGCCCGTGTGTCCATTAAAAAGTCGACATTACCCCTCCACGCGTTGGAGACTATAAAAATTAGGTGATGCTAACAACGGGTGCAATTTTTGTATATTTATATGTATTTTTCTTGGTGCGAGTTCATTCGCGCCAAGATGGCTTGCCTCAAAATGTCCCTGCGCCAAGTTGGCTTTGCGCCAAAATGGCTCGCGCCAAGTCGGCCGCCCCGAATTGTCCTAGACCGGAATGGGACTATTTGGTGCGGCCGACTTGGGGCGGCCAACTTGGCGCGGCCGACTTGGCGCGAGCCACTTTGGCGCAAGGCCAACTTGGCGCCGGGACACTTTGGCGCAAGCCATCTTGGCGCGAGTACGTCGGTATATAATAAAAAAAATATTTGTTTTTCGTACTGTGGTTGGCACCCTGTTATTTATGTTAGCATCACTTAGGTGTAGGCAACCAAATACACAGTTTCATTCGCACAAATTCCAATAACTAAATGATCTACGGAGCAAGAAGTTCCACGTTTAGGAGTATGTTTATAATGGGGTACCGGGCACGAAGCGCCCGTGTGTCCATTAAAAAGTCGACATTACCCCTCCACGCGTTGGAGACTATAAAAATTAGGTTATGCTAACAACGGGTGCAATTTTTGTATAATTATATCTATTTTTCTTGGTGCGAGTTCATTCGCGCCAAAGTGTCCCTGCGCCAAGTTGGCTTTGCGCCAAAATGTCTCGCACCAAGTCGGCCGCGCGAAGTCGGCCGCGCCGAATTGTCCTAGACCGGTTGCCATCTATTAATAATTACACTTATAATAATTTTGATAAATTTTAATTTGACTTGACATTATGAGACTTCAAAACGTGTTAATGGTGATTTGTTTCGGTATGAATGCCTTTGTGCCTTTCAAAAAATGTTAATAATTCTTTTGTCGTGTTTGAATTATTAATAGATGTCAGCACGTATGGTACCTCTTGGACAGGCCATAATCTTTATACTAGTCGGCCATGGTTAAATATTAGATCAAATACTAATTTTTAATTTGTTTCAATGTGATCTAATATTATGCATTAACAGCAATAGCATTTTTAACAAAAAGTTAACGAGAATTGTTATACAACTCTAGTTTGACTAGGTACGGTGTTACAATCGATTTTGATTGTTATACAACTCTAGTTTGACTACGGTGTTAGAATCGATCTTTATTACACGATTAGTACTTGTATAAGTTGTTATTTCGAGTATAATTCAGTTCAACTTTAAAACGTGCGAGCGAGCTGAATTGTGTAGCTTTGGCTTTTTTAATTACAACCAGCAACAGCATTAAAAGTAACATGCAGAATCACGAATCACTTTTTCGAAATATCATGTATTTATAAAATGTAATTGCTTGGAGTAACTCAACTCTAATTTGTTGTAAGTATAAATTGTTTGTTTTGCAGGTTCCGCAAACACCAGCGTATCGGACGGTCCTAATAGTCCAGTGGTTAACCACGAGAACCTAATGGATTCAGAACAAAACATGGAGGTAGAATTACTCAAAATGTTACTGCAACAGGTAAAATATGGCTTATTGATATATTTATATGTTATATTTTCCATCGATATACGTATGCAATTCCACAATGTAAATGTAATAGTTATTTGCATGATAAGCACGGGAACATCTGTTTTGCAGATGAGTGGGACGGTTTGCGCACGAATGATGAGTGTCGCACGAGTCAGGCAAAATGTTCGTTCACGCACGTAGCATGTACAACATTTTTTGCACGGATTCTTATTTAATTTATTAAAAAGAAGCGAGTCGGTCATTCATGATGTCAAAAAAGATTAAGTTGCTGATACCCGTAACAGCAGCAGCTGTTTATTTATTATTGAGTTCGTAGTAGTTATTTATGTACCAAGGACCAAAAAATACCTATTATAGCCGAGTCTGCTTTTTGATGATGGAGGCGTAACCGAGGCGCAGAAAGCAGGCGAGGCTATAACAGGCACTTTTTTGCCGCAGTGCATATTACATTTTTCCGTCGACGTTTCCGGTTATAGCAAAGTAAAAATCAGGATATAATCTTTTAATTACAACAAATCTTCATTTTAATTACGATACAAAATTACTCCCTAAGATTACTAAATTACTCCTGCAATTCTGGGGGTGTGTTGCTGATATTCATATCGCTGACACTTTCATCGTCTTGTTCCATTTTCTTAATTTTATTGTTAATCGTCAGTATTTACAAATACACGCTTACAGACGACGACTAAAATAATTAAACAACTCAAAATGACAATTAATGTCATTTTGAGTTGTCAACCGTCTATGTTTGTGTTAATCGTGCACGCTGCTAAATTATCCAAGCACCGGCGTCACATCATGCCGTATCCCCACAAATTTTTGATTTTTGATACATTAATCACCAGATTATTGCATTAATCATCTCACATAACCTTTGTATCCTTTATATTCGCTAGTTTTATCTTAGGTTTATTTATTTTTACACCTGTCAACTGCAAATAGGCAGTATCATGGTACAAGAACACATGGTATGATAGTGCGCATTTTGTGTGACGTCATGTGGATGTCATGACAGCCAACTTTAAATTCTGGCTAGTTGCATGTTTGTCAACGAACGATGCCAAATTTTGAACACATGTTATTAGCATCTGATTTCAACTCAGCACCTTCGAAGATAAGTTAATCCATGATTAAAAATCGAACCGAATCTCAAACATCTGTTATAATGTCACATATATAATTGATAAATTGACATTTGACAGCTTTCGAAATTGTCAGAAGAGCGTTTTAAGCACGGTTTTCAAAGCAATGTGACGCACGTGGCTGGTGCGCAAAGCAGACGGAAATTCATCCACTAGAGTAGCATACCATGTCTTCATGGTACCATGGGCAGTATCATAAATTTCTAATAAATGGCGCAGTGACAATTTAATCTTAAATAGAGCATATTTTTTGCTTTAGCATAAAAATCGTTGTAAAACCCATTTTTTGTTTATCTTGGTCAGAACAGATTAATTTTAAGGAAGAAAAATTCATGCGCTCTTTCCCATACTCGTGCGGGAAAGGTGACCAGACAACGGAGCAATATTCTAGTTTGGAGCGTACAAGAGCAAAAAATAGTGTTATCAGAGGTTGAATTTCGGTGAATTCTCTGCAAGACTGATGCACAAAACCCAAAGTATTTAGTGATCTTCTAACTACATCGTTTATATGTGGCACGAATGTAAGTCTGTTGTCAAAAGTAACTCCTAAATCTTTAAAATATTCCGCTCGTCGAATCGTGTGGTCCGCTATTTTATAGTCATAGGTAATGGGAATTTTCTGCCTTGGGAATGTCATAATGTAACACTTATGTTTATTTAAAATCATTTGGTTTGTTTGACACCAAAGATACAAAGTGTTAACATTTTCTTGAAGAGTTCGGCAGTCATCTATTGAGGATATGTTATAATACAATTTCAGGTCGTCTGCGAACAACAGTTTATCACACGACATATTGACTGGTAAATCATTGATAAATAACAAGAAAAGCAATGGTCCAAGATTCGATCCCTGTAGAACTCCCGAAGTGGGAACAAATGATTCAGACAAAAAATTACGATATCTTACGCAGTGCTGACGGTCTATCAAATATGATCGAAACAGTGATAACAACGGTCCAGAGAATTCATGGAGACGCATTTTTTCGAGTATCTGGTGATTAGATTAACAACGCGCGGAACACGCTAGAACCAGTGCTGTCGCGGCGATAGTTTTATTACAAATATATTTTTCTTTTGGACTATTTTAACATAACATTTCAAGATCACAAATCTGTGGTCTTGTGGTTGAAAAAAAGGGCATCGAGTATTATTATTTGAAGTAATATAGTAATATAGAAGTAGTTTTTTTACTAGCTGTAAACACTCCTAGCGACGCGTTGGCTACGACCTTCTGGACCAGATCAAAGCGTCCCCGCTACTCGCCGTAAAACACTTACTTCTTACTTACTTCAACTGGGGGATTGCAGCGGTGAGATAAATTCCTGTGTACTGGTGATTAATGATATCAAACGCCTTTTGGAAATCCATGTTGCACTGATGAGGTGGTATATTTTATGGACGCATAAATTCTGTTGTATAATACAGATTCCAATACTTTAGCAAAGTTACAGAGGAGGGTTATTGGGCGATAATTTCCAATATTTGACGCATCCCCATTTTTAAGAACTAGACAAATGACGGATTTTTTCCAGGCTGGTGGTATTTTTCCATTACTGAGAACTAAATTATACAAATACGTTAAAGGTTCAGTCAATGCTGCTGCACAATCTTTTAATATGAAACTTGGAATTCCATCAGCTCCAGATGTAAAACTATTTTTAGATTGCTTCAAAGCTTGGAAGACCTCATCATTTGTGACATTGGTAACAACAATATTATGGTTTGTGTTAGTATTTATTGAAATCTCATTAGAAAGTATATTAATATTTGGTGTATAAACAGATTTGAAATATTCACTAAACCCATTGACAATTTTTGTCGGTGTGTTTAGAATGCGGTCCTTGTACTGCATGATTCCAGGAATTCGACTACATCCCTTCTTATGCTGAATGAAGCTCCAAAATTTTTTTAGGTCAACTGATAATATGTTTTGCATGTTATTAATGTATGCCCTAAAACTCGCATCAATTAAGACTTTTGATCTGGCCCGGTATTGCTTAAACATATCGTAGAACTGATTAGTGCCATACTTTTTGTGTCTTTTAAAATAATAGAATTTCGTACGTAGACAACTAATGTCTTCTGTATTGAACCAAGGTGGATATGAATGAGAATTTTTGCTATTACGATATTTAGGAACTGTTATTTCGAGTAAATTAATCAATATTTCATAAAACTTGTCACAGGCGATTTCAACAGACGGAACTTCGTACAACGGGGTCCAGTTTATAGATAGAATCAAATTATACAATAATAGAAAATTAGCCCACCTGAAGTTAAAGGCTTGTGTGTTATTGCAGAAAGTAAAACTTTTAAGAGAATTATTTGTTGCAGAAAAGGAAGTATTTAAGGTTGGATGATAACCATCTTCACTTACTGGATTATCAGATCTACTTACATTACATGGGATATTGGCAAAAACTAGATCCAAAATGTGACAACAAATATTTTCTACAGTATTATACTGGTGACTATTCCATGCATATCGGTTAAGGGGACTCGCTAGACGAGGTATAACATTTTTTTGGTTTTTGTATGAAAAAATGATATTAATATAGATGTATCATACATCAAACTGCAGCTTTTTTCATATTCTAGAGCGCAGTGACCAGTTCAATCAATTAAAAAGATATGGCTGAGAAATGTCGTAAAAAAAACATCATTGTATGTTTTCTTTTCAAGTTTTTTGAGTCATAACCATCATAGAATCGCTTGAAAATTCGCACATGGACAAAGCATCACTTTTTATAGGCCGCAGAGTCATTAAATGTTTGTTAGTGGTACAATTTGTTTAAATAATAATGTGTGTATTAAAATCAAAATATACCACAAATTAAAGCAAAATACGTCGAATAACTTTAACAGGAATATCAGAGGAAAATTACTGATCTATTGCTTAGCAGAGTTTTTAACAAAAACTAACAATTACTGAAAAAAATGGGTATCAATTCGGCAGAATTTGAGCCGTTAGTTCAGTACTTTGCCGATAGGAGCGCCACTAAAATTTACGGAAGCGACTTTCCAGGTAAAACCCTTATCGCCTGCTCTACCATAAGCTGATTGTTAGCGTTCTCGGCTGATTTTTCTAATTTATCGCAAGGAACTCAATTTTATAAGAAGCCGCCAGGACCGACCGTAGTAATCTATTGTTAAGGAATTTAACATTTACGCAAAGAGGTACTATCATAAAACCGAATTAAAAGTGGGGAACTATAATATTTTTACTCCACTCAGGATCCTGAATTCAATACACATGATTACAAAAATTCATTGTAATATTGTTAATATATATTTTGCTTTTTTAATTAATAAAACTCATAAACATATTTATAATAATAATAAAAATATATAAAATACAGCTTTTGTTTAACACGTTTAAGTAGCTAAGTGTATCTACTACTTATCCTAGAAAGGAGGTGTTTTAAAAAAGCCCTACGTCCAATAACTTCTCCCCTCATTGTTTACTCGAAAAAAGTGCTAGTATACAGAGTCATCAAAATTGATTGAGAGAGTTGGTACTCCCTGTTTTTGCCGTGAAGTTTGACAACCTTATGACAGATTTGTTTAAGGTTATGTGGCAATGAATTCAGTGGCGTGACAAGAGACGTGGGGGTTGATTGTCGAACTCACCTGAATCAGTTGCGGATACGAAAGTTACCTTCTTGCAAAGTTGCGAACAGTTTTAACGTTTGTACGAATCGCCTTGGTCGATGCGCACCCTATACCGTATTACCACTCGCATCTTTGCGAACATATTCGAGAAATGACGCCCTGCTCCAACTTTTTAGACCCCCCTTTAAACCTTGATAATTCAAAATAAAATTTTAAAGGTATATTGTAATTTTAAGAGCCATTTTACACGTCATAGAATTACTCCGAAAATTATAACGAAAACAATAAACGATAATTTATGCATACATTTTGACAAGAATTTTGATGGTAAAGTCCACAAAAAAATGCGCAAACATTCAGAACATGACCAAAACTTTCACTCACATAATTTCGTTATAATTTTTCTGATCATTTTCGAAATAATTCTGTGACGTGTAAAACGACCACAAAAGTATATTTATTTCAAAGCAAATGCTGAAAATGTTGACCATTATTATCTAAACAAATAGCAACTCGTCTTTTTAAATTTTCAAAAACATTGCGCAGCATAGGAGCACCAATATTATTAATTTCATTGACTATGGCAGCTTGCATTTCCTCCAGAGTGTTAATGCGATTTCTAAAGATGTTATTTTTCAAATAACCAAATAAGAAGAAATCAGGAGGCGTAAGGTCTGGCGATCGGGCGGGCCATAATCCGCGGCTAATAACCCTTCCGGGAAAAGCGCGCTGAAGATACTGTAAGGTTGTACCAGCAGTATGGGGAGGAGCGCCATCCTGCTGGAAGTAACAGTGGGCCCGTTCAAACTCATTTAGTTGGTTTATGAAGTTGTCCAATATAAGTAGCCTATATCGGTCAGCATTTATTGTTTGGTTGAAGAAAATGGGGCCGATTATTCGTGCTCTTGATATGGCCACCCAAACACCTATTTTTATTGGATGTAAGCTGGTTTCTTGAAAGACATGAGGGTTTTCAGTTGACCAAGTTCTATAGTTCTGCGAATTAACGTAGCCAGATAGGTGAAAGTAAGCCTCGTCTGTGAAAAAGGTCCTATCTAAAATCTCGTTTCTGTTCATGTTTTGCAGAAACCATTGGCAATACCGCACACGCGCATCAAAGTCTTGTGGAAGCAGTTGTTGCACTGTAGTGACCTTATATGGATGCATATGTAATTTTTTCTTTAAAATTGTATGACAACTTCCATAAGATATGCCAGTCTGTTGTGAAAGACGTGTAATGGATTTATTGGGACTACGTTGCATTCGCTCATTAACATCTTGAATCGATTCTTCTGTTACAACTGTAACAGATCTACCTGTTGATTTCCGTTTTACAACGCTTCCACTATCGAGAAAGCGTTCAACAACTCGTTCACAATGCTGGACAAAAAGGTAGAAAGGAATTTCTTCATCAGGATATATGCCCATGAACTGAGCATAAGTGGATTCTGAGGAATAATTCCACGCCCCAAATTCGTCTTGAGTACCACTCCGGAAATATGCCATCACTAGAAAAGTGTTCTGCTCTATAGACAGAGGCATATTATATTAGGAAAAGCAATTGAACAAATCTAAAATTCGAAACTTCAAATCTGACAACTAATATTTTTTACAAAAAAAAAATCGAAAAAACACGCCACTGAGTTTTGAAATTTGAAAGTTAAAACTTCAAATCTGGCAGCTAATATTTTTATACAACTTAATGAACCAAATTATTCAAGTTCAGGTTTACCAACTCTCTCAATCAATTTTGATGACCCTGTAGTTGGATTCATGTATCTTTTGACACACGTAACCGAAGTATCATACAAGCTCAGACAGCACCTACCATAAGAATCTTTGTTTTAAGGATTACAAAAACGAAGAGCCAGACAAATAGTATGTCTACCGAAATTAGGCCAAATTACACTCTACGTCAGTTATTCTCTTCCACAAAGTTCCTTGAATTAGAAAAAGATAAAATACGTAATGAATGCGTCCACATAGTGCGACAGGCACTGATGTAGTCAATCTAGTGACTGATAATAATTCATCGATTTTTCATCAAACGTCACTGTCATCTTTGGTTTTACACAGAGTGGTTAATCGCAGTTTTTCGTTGTTCTATTCAAGTTTTCTATTCAGTTCTTCGTAAAGTTCGTTGATTGTTAGGATTATTGTTTCGTTGTCCTATTTTTTATGTTTTGTTATCTTATTTCTTGTTCGTGTTTGGTCTACAACATGACGGGCAAACGTTTGAGTTCCCGTGCCCAGGACATCGTGCCAACTTTATAGAGTATTTTGCTCTTGAGAAGGAAAACGGTGGTTCTTTAATCTCATTAAATGGTACAGAACGAGTAAGTAAAAACCACTTGAAGGTTCACGGTTAATAATTTCGCTCAAATTTTTAGCGAGTTGCAGATGCTCTAGGCGTTACTCGCCGAACGGTTTCGAAGATTGAAACTCGAAAAGAAAAACTTGGCGTCCTTCCCAGTCCGACAAAATCACGACCCAATCGGAAAGCACCGAAACCAAAAGACCTGCCTGAGCCTACACATTTGTGTCATGTTGACGTTATGAACATTGTCATCTTTTTGACTAATTACTACAAAGTAACAGTTATTATTTCGGACGTTAGCTTTTGGTCACGTGTGTAAAAAGATACATGAATTCAACTATATATGTTTTAATTTGCCGAGAGATCATTTTCAAAATATATTTATAATAAAAATATGCAAGTCTTGGTGATGAAAAATGTACTCCTAATAAATTATTAAAGTTCATAAAAAAATAGAAACAAATTTTATTTATTTTAAAAAAATCTCTCGCAAAGGCAGGTTCCTCTTTCTTCGTGAATCAATTATTTCGGGCAATAATGCGCCAAAGTAAAATCTGCCAAGTTTATCATACATATTTCTTCGTCTTTATAAATGTTTTCTATATTTATTCCCTTGGTTGTCTACACAACAAAATAAACTTGTGAAATACTCGTAACAAGCATTTGTCCCTGGACTTGAAAGTAGTAATCATGATTTTTTTTAGTTTCAATTCTCTGTCTGTCAATGTACAAAATGTGATTATTTTTTTTTCTAACCGCTTCTTCGGGAGACAAATCTTGCGATTTTGAAGGGCATTTAATTTCGACTAATGCACTCCTATCGTCTAGAACCCTGTCTGGACTAGCAGCCAAGTAAGGAAATTGTTTTGAAATAAACAAGCCACACCGTTCAGTTTTTATACTTTTATTTATTTCAAAACACTTGACAGCTTTTTCCTCACTTTGTTGTCCATAGTTTGTATGACTATTACCTTTAAATGTACTGCACAACAAAGACTCCACAGTTTTAGCTGTTGCTGTAGTCGCTCTAAGTTTGTAAATCCGTCCAAAATTTGAAGCCGTAACCCTAATTTCTCTTTCTTTTCCCCAAGTGTCTATTTCAATTTGGTCTAAATTCAAAGATAATTTTCTCAAAAAAACCTCTTTGGCTGTTACAAATGTTTCTACATCCATGTCAGGATTATCTAAAACATTTAAACCATAATCTCAGTCGGGACCAGCATACGTACATTTTTTACGACATATTTTTTTTACGAATACTTTGTCTAAGACGAGCTTGTTTCATTGACGAACAATATTTTTTTGTTATTAAACCAGGGCCGTTTTTTGTTAACGTTTGTTGGATTGTTTCATGATACATACAGAAATGATTATTCTGTGCTGAAGGTATGTTGTGGGCCGCCTGTCATAAATTATCATTATTCTTCATTATCGGCTTAGGATGTTTTTATGACTCACGTCCGGTAGTCGTCTATCCCAGCGCGTCAGGTAGATTTAAAGAAGAATTGCTGGTTGCGTTTAAGGCAACAAATAGCGCCCAATTCAAACTTGTCTGTTGTCTAGCGTTCCCCCTTATGGCTCCTCCACACAGTCATTAAAAGATGCCAAAATAAGGCAAAACGCCAACCCATTTTGCGCCTTCATTTTAACAGTTGAAGAGTAGGGCGATACATGTGCGTGCTCATGGCATAAAAATCTTTAAGGAATAGTCTTGTATTTTTTAAAAAACTTAGCAGTTTTTAAAATAAAAAATAAAGTGCGTAAAACCCGAGCGGATTTTTAGCGAAAATTATAACTCGGTGTGCTTTTAAAAAATATCGAGGTGATAGAGAATTTTTTTCTACTTTAGGCGCCATTTTTAGTTTTCTGTTAAAATTTTCTTCTTTTAGTTATTGTAAAAAAACTGCAAAGCATTTGGGGCAAATTTTGGTAAGTTAGGCAACTCAAAATACTAGCTGAGGCGGTAAGCTGTAATTTATGGCCCACACAATACAGCACCTTTTAAATACCTTAAGCTTATTTGACCACCCTTTGAAGTACCTGGGAATAGCATTAAGAAGGATAAAGGCGAGTAAAATTTTTACAGAAATATGATAACATTTATACGTTGTTGTTTTGATTTCATTCCCCCTTTTAATTAAATGAATGATCTTAATTAAATGGAATTTTATTATTGGAATACATTTATTCAAGCTATATTAGGGATGTAGGATATGTCTATGACAATATGTGCAGTAAAGCAAATAAAATTGCAGCTATAAATTACTACAATTCCTAAGAGAGGAGTACTTATACTGCACAAATGGAAACGGGTACATACAAACTGGCTGACGGGGTCGGTTTTTTAATCCGGCTCCGAATATTGAGTATGGTATACGTTGGCTCCGACAGTACGAAAGGCAGAGATAGATTTTATGATACCAAAGAATTTTCAAGCAGAAATTTATAGATAGCAAAAAGGTGTAATCGTTTTGCGTTTTGTGCTTTGGTAAACAGAGTGCTGACATCCCTGCCTTTATACACTGCATTTAAATATTAAACAATCACAGGAAAATATTATCATCAATAAAATCATATTAATAAAATAAAAGTAATAACAAAAAAGCAAAGACCCCTTCAAACCATAAAATTCAACATTTTACACTTATTGCCAAAAAAAACTTAACATTTGTCTATAAATCTTTTTTCGATGTATTTCGGAGTTGCTGATGTAGACTCCACCACGAGTCAACAATTTCTGGTAGCATGACATTTAAATAAAAATTTTCTAATGCATTTACCATATGTTTATTCCAGAAGTCATCATCTCTTTCAATAAAAAAATATTCTAAATCTACATTAGTGTATATGATAAAATAACACAATTTTCTTTTAGTTATATGCAGTGGACCCGGTTATACCTGATACATATAGTTGTGGTTAGGGTTCAAACTAATTGTATTATCTGCATTTAATGAACAATAATTAATGATGATTTTATTTTTAATAGCTTCCTTAATATTTTTACTGCAAGCCGCAAATGAACATTTAATCTCTGCAATTGAGTTAGAATTTATTAACCCATCTGTAGAAGCTCCTAGAAATTTCTTTCAAATTTGTTAGAGCTTCAAATTTTTCTTTGGTCTTTTCTTCATTGTCAATACCAAATTGTAGAGACTTGGGCAATTTTTTCATAAAGTTTTATCGGAATGCACAATACTTTTAACGGTATTTGCGATGTTAATTCCGTCTCTCATTTTGTCCTTTCTTTACTCCATTCCCTACACATTCGCTGACCACAAGTACCTTTTTCAATAGCGTTTACATTACTTTGTGACAGCTTTATTAATAAATCCGATTTTTTTCTTTCATACACTTCAGTTACTTCAGGTAATATATCTGCAGTTTTTATTTGTTCATCGTCGACGATATTATTTTTGCCGGAATCCGCACTTCGGATACGCAATTTTTTAATAGAGGTTTTAGTTTTATTAATCGTTTTTATTTTTTTCATTTTTTTTTCCACAAACCGCTACGTATACTAACATTGGCCTCCCCAAAATTTTTTTTTAATAACGGAATTAGGAACGTACCCTTATTATTATAACTTATTGCCGCAGCAAAGCATCGCCCTTGATACGATCCTCGTGCAGAAAAACTTATTCTTTTTCCTCCCACAAATTTATTAACGACAGAATTATATCATTCCACAGCATTGTTCCAATATCAAAAAGTAAACTAGACGACAAAGTTGCAACTCTATAAAACTTGTTTGTAAGGTTCGTATAAAAACACCATTTGCCAAAGTAGAAAATAAAGTATCATTTGACTGTCCACTTTTATAACAAAAATAGCTTGCTCATTGTTCGTGATTGCCAAATATATGCTGGGGAAAAAAGGAAGAGGTTCATTTTTGCTAAATTTGATAGCACTTGTAATAGCTGGTCTAAATTTTAGAATACTATTTTTAAGAACATTGTTAATAGTAATATCTGCTTTCGTTGTTTTAACTATTTCTCTAATTTTGGAACAATAATTACGAAGTATGTGATTTCTACATTTTTTCTATTAAATAATATGCACCATTTGGTTTTGCAGCCCGAACTTTTTTTAATACGCTACTGTCCTCGTCGCCTATAATTCTCCTATAAGGTATCTAAAGTAAATTCCTCTAAGATAATTGAAGCTTCCATGGACATTGATGTTTGCTCCCAGTTTTTAAAACAGTTATGTGTGAATTTCTTTTTTCTGTTTCATATAGATTTTACAGAAACTACAAAGTTTGTTTTTGACTCCAACATAAAGTATTTTTTAGTTCTGGCACCAATTATGCGTCCTACCCCAGACAGTGCATTGTAATTGGATTTTTAGAAGCGTTTGCTCCAAGCTCCATCGACAATAACGGTAATATATGGGACGCAATCATTATCTACCTCCCTCGCCTCCACAGCTAATCGGTATTTTTCTATACTTGCGTTTTGGTTTGTTCTTCGAAAAGTGCTTCGATGCTCTTTAGAACTGTAGCCTCGGCTTTACGACATGTCGCCTGGGATATTTGAGGGATATCTAGAGCTGAACAAAATTCTGAAATTTGAGAATAACCTACGCCCGTTGATCTAGCTCCACAAATAACTGCATAATTGAATTTGTATATATGACTTTCAGGTTCAGTACAAAAATTACCGAATATTCCATACATATTACAATTGTAATATAAAACACGGTAAGGGTGAACACAAGGTTTATAGTTACCGTATTCGAGATACACCCACATAAATTTTTATGGGACCAATCACTCAAAAATCGGTGCTACTGAAACCTCAACCATAAATTATGAAAAGGGCTTGACAGGTCATTTTATACAGAGCCGTATTCGGGTTGAGTTTGTGACGTCCTTCTCAGGGCCAGGCTAGCTCCTTCGTCGTTGCGGGGTGATGGGTCGATCATCTGTCTTGACCTTGGGCGCCAGTGTGCCACAAGAGGGCACACAGAAAAAGAAAGATGACAGGAAAGCCGAAGAAGAGAAAGAAAGAGGAGTAGAATAAGTAGAATAAAGAGAAGAAAAGGAAGGAAAGGGAAAAAAGGGAGAAACAACAAATACCCGGTCTAATCACGTATATAATGAGGATTGTATATACAAAAAAAAATTAATATAAATTGGGGGGGGCGGCAGCAGCTCGTTGGTAGGTGAATTGATGACCCTGGTGAACCGGCGACCCGTGACGATTGGAGGCAAAACAAAAAACTGGCACAACGCAAACTGGGACGCTCCCGGTTTCTCCCGGACGATCAGCGAGCACTTCCCGGCGATCGGCGCGCACTTCCCGGCGACTTACCGTATTGGTACCAATACGCAGAACGCCCGTTCCCGTCGCCGCGGTCCTGTTGAGGTCAGCTTCGCTTCCTGTGCCTCTCC